TGCTGCTGATGGGTGTGTGTTGGAGGGCACTTTCACACACTGCCCCCCTACCCCATCGTCCCCCGCTCCCCTCATTCAGCCGTCAGCAGGTTAATTAAATATGCTAATGAGGCGTGGGAGCAGACCGGACTGTCTGCATCCACCCCCCCACTGAGGGGCGTGGATCATCTAACTCAAACCCCCCATCATCACAGACTTGTAATTAAGTCATATATTATAAAAGAAAAAATGTTTCCATCTATACTTTGAATTTAAAAAGCTTTTTCCTTAAATAAAGAAGGATCAGGAAGTTTAATGAACTTCCTGATCCTTCTTATTTTCCTGTTTACAGTCCTTTTTGTTTCTTTAGAAAAAAATCCTGAAACACACACTCATCTCTGAAAACTTTTTTCCATCTGTCACCATCAAAGACTTTAAATATTAAATCAAATGAAATCAGAAGAATCAGAAAATAACTATGCTTTTACTCTGAAAAGCTTCTCAAGTAACGCGTATCCTGGGTTAGGAGACCCACTTGAACGCTAGTGGAGCCTCGGACACCTGACCACCATGGAAAGATGCCGGCAGATCACGTGACCCTCACACACACTCACACGCACGCACGCACGCACGCACGCACGCACGCACACAGAGCACTGGGACATAAAGGAAACAATGGGACCAGACTTTCTAGCTCTCTCTGTGGGAAAGTCAAACTTGATCGCCCCAGAGGTCGCTCCCTCTCGCTCGCCCTGCTCTCTCTCTTTGACATGAACTGGTGCTTTTCTAGGAACAAGGGAGGGGGGCTACTGGATGCTTTCCAGAAAGGCAGCAGAGAGTCAGAGGCGGTGGGGGACGGGTTGGCGTGGGGGTTACCTCTGAATTTTTCTGAAAAAAACTTCTGAAGTCGTCTTGTTAACTCCCGGGAATAAAGGTCAACAGGTAACGTTCCCGGGATTCACATTAATGGTGCCGACCAGATATCATCACTGCCAAGAACACAGTGCACCGTCACCACCTGCACCCCACCTGCTCAGCCTCACCCCCACGTTCCCCTTTCCCAGCAGCTCATTCAGGACTCTGCTGCAAGGTTATTGATTAAACCCAAGAACCAGTAGAGCACCAGTCCAACCAGTCCACCTCCAGTAGAGCTCCACTGGTTTCCACAGAACGGGTTTTGCTTCCTGTGATGGGAGTGGATGACTTACCTCATGAGAAAAGACGTGCTCATTTAGAGCAATCATACGTTATGGCAGTTTTATACAAGTGCCAAATAAATCAGTTTAAAATTTCCGGAGATTATTTCCAAAAACGCAAAAGCTTCTGTCAAAAGGAACCAGGTCTGTCTGCAACTACAGGATGGGGGAATTATTACAGTGTGACACGTCGAAGGCCCTGGACGAGAACGACCTGTGTGAGAGAGGAACGCGCAGCTGGATGGCGTCTCTCACGGCAGAGAGGATGATGGGCAATTTAAGCAAAGCCTTTCTCGTGTGCGTCGCTGATCTCAGCGTGACGCGGTAAATCTGTTGTAAATCTAATGATAATGACATCATCACCAGTTTTACTGCAGAGCAAAATAAAAATGAAACGTCAGTTCAGAGGTGCTGTCAGCTGACACAGACGCCGTTTCTCACTGGTGTGAAGTTCTGTCACACCGGTTAGGACACAAAAAAGCTCGCGTTTAAAGAGGCCACACTTCCTCCGGGTTTGTTTTTAGTGCACACAGACTCCGCCCCCCCATGACCGAGCCACGCTGGGATCGTGCTGTCGTCTCCTGGCAGAGCGACAGGAGGCAACACAAACAGAAACAGCGAAGCGCTCTGCTGCCAAAATCTGTTTCTCTCCGTGTTTGGCTGCTCAGTGACGTGGGCAAGAGACATGCCGACACTACAGAGAGAGAGAGAGGGGAGAGCAGAACGCCGCACACCTCCAATGTTCAGCCCGAGGACGACAGTTGGAGGATCTTTACCGGAAGGATACGAAGACGTGGACGGACGGGCTCTGAGTGGGTACAAAATAAATAAATAAACAAACCGCTCGGCATCGATCTGAGCGCACTCTGATTTAGCTTTTAATGAAATGAAGAGACGTTTGAATTCATTTTTTTAAAGGCCACAAATCAGCTGAGACTGCCACGCAGGATAAATTACCTTCACACACACACACACACACA